ATACGGGACATAATTGAGGCCGGCTAGATCAGTCATGATCGCAGCCGTTACAATTACAAAGTACAAGTACAAGTATGCCGAGTCGGTCAATGCGCCCGTGTTAGAGTACAGTGATCCTGACCTAAGCTTGCCATTGGAACACAGCAGGAGCGATAAAATCTGATGCTGCGGAAGCCTCCCTTTATAAAAACACGCATTTTGTAATCACAACTGCCCCTCAGTCGGGCAGTGGTGCCCAAGTTCCAGGAATTGACTGTCAGCTACAGCAGACGAAAGATTTAATTGCCATTTCATCTCCACGGGTTTGTGTGAACACATTTACGCACTTGCTGTCAGCGGTGAGTATGTTCAAGGTTGCCATAAATCAATCGCGCACCTGTGTCACCCTTATGGGTTTTTATATGTTGCGCTTTGGCAACTATGTAGGCCAAGCGAATCAAAACTTAAGTTCCTTCGTGTGACTAGCCTTAAAAGTGTCAACTTCCCGGTAAGCGCACTGGAAGTGCTTGCTAGACATGGCTATAAATCGTACAGATGGCGCCCTCAAGGTCCATTTCGCTAATAGGTAATATTCACTAAACTTTTTGCCGACTCCCCTTCATAGTCTTTTTATTTTCTCGCTTGCATTTAGTGTTTTTTTTCAGCATCTTCTCGATATTGTGTCATTCGTGCGTGCGTGTCTACGTAGTCGGCCTTGGCCACAGTTTTCCATAGCCGTGTGAAAATGACGGATAGGGTAACTTCCTTTCCGTGTTGGTTATCTATGGTTTCCTTTTTCTTTCAGCTTCCGGGCTTCTTCCTGCCTCGTCTTGTTCACGTATCTGTTTACGCCAGCGACCCTGATGATGCGTCCACCGGCGTCCCGTCTCCCGACTCCCAACCCACCTTCATATTCTCCTCTATCATCGCCCCCTTCCAATTCAGTCGTTCCTGGTCCCACACTGAGCTCCTGGACCGGCTTCTGCCCAAGATTGAAGGTGTCCGTTGCATGTCACTGTCGCAGAACCGGAGCAAACCGACCAATTCACCTGACGGCGGTAAGTGCAACTTTCACTTTCCTGTCACCAGAAGGGCTTTTACTCGGTGTTTATGCTGAGGCATTATGTCAGAATGTCCTGAGAATGCGTATCTTTCAGTTCTCAGTGGTCCGGTCTGTCACTGCGCGCCGCATCTAACCTCCAGTCGTGTTACAGGCGGGTGCTAGGATGGCTTGTACCCATCATCAGAAATAACCACGAAAAAGGAGGTTACGCGGTATTTATAATCCTTAAAATGGAGATGAATTTTTGCTTCAGTATTAAATCTGCTTCAATCCCAAATCATTGGCAAGCGCGAGTTTAACGAGTCCGACTGCTGCTGCGGCATTATAGATCGTGAGGGTCGTTCTTCGGTCCTCATTCAGCTGTTGACTTTTGTCGCGTTTGGTGAACGTATCATAAAGCATTGGAAAGCGTAACAAACAACAAAGGTGCAATAGGCTAGCCAACCAACTGAGTTCTGCGTATGTTGCGCT